AAAAAAAAAAAAAAAAAGAATACATAAAAAAAATCTGTAGCACTGAAGGAAAAAAGGGTAGAGGGAGGAAACATTTGGAGGGAGGAAACTGGAAGCCAAAATAAAGCGACTGATTCTAGGCCTGGACCTAGGGGGTGAAATACTCTAGTTCAGGGTAGTTTAGAGCCAAGTAGGGATGAATCTGTGGGAGCCAGTTACAGTGGGCTGGAAGTTTCTCTAGTGGAAGATGGATGAGAGGGAGTTAGGAGCACAAATTCTGGAGTAAGACCTGGGTTCAAAAGTGTTTATTTCTCTTTCTAGTCTTTTGATATAGATTTTTTCCTGTGAAAGACAAACTGAAATAATACTTGAGTAGGACTTGGCCTGGAGGCTGCAACTTAATTGGTGTGAGTTTTCTTCCTGCTTCCAATCCAGAGCTCCTGTCTTCACCCCAGGGTTTCCCTGACAGAGGAAGAAGCCACTCACCAACAATAGTTCCTGAATATGCTTCACAAACCCTTGAGAGGACAGATGGACTGAAGTAGGCGCTGAGGAGAATTCCGGACATTTCTGGGAGCCAGACCAAGAGTATCTCCAGGAGATGTGGATGGTAGTTCAGGGTAGCTTAGAGCCAAATGGGGATGAATCTGTGGGAGCCAGTTACAGAAGGGTTCTTACCTTAGAAACAAGACTAGGACACACAGGGTCAGAACCTGTGACAACTTTGGTAGGGGTCTGGAAAGATTTCCAAAGTCAAAGAAAAAGGGATAGGAAACTTCTTGGGGCCACCTGGAATCACTACCAATACAGGTTCATGTCAAATTATCCATCTAAGCCAGGTACAYTGGCACATGCCTGTAATCCCAAAAGCTGAGGCAAGAGGATTGCAAGTTTAAGGCCAGCCTCAGCAACTCAGTGAGACTCCTGTCTCAAAATAAAAAATAAAAAGGGCAGGGAATATATATGGCTTAGTGGTAGAGTGTTTCTGAGTTCAATTTCCAGTACCACCAAAAAAAAAAAAAAAAATTAGACGATACCTATTTATCACCTATGTATTTACTTATCTCAGAAACATTTCATATCTATCTATCTATCTTGGAAGCTTTTCAGTCTAGCAACATAGTGTGAATTTGGTCTGCAAAACAAGAGGAGAGGGCCTGGGGTTGTGGCTCAGTGATAGAGCATTTGCCTTGCATCTGTGAGAAACTGGGTTTGAKTCTCGGCACCACATATAAATAAGTGAATAAAATAAATGTCTGTCAACAACTAAAAAAAAAAAAAAAACAAGAGGAGTCTTTCTGCTTGTAACTAAGAATTCTCAGGGAAGATCACCTCTAACTTCCACTTATCACGAAGGTTGGATACAGGCAATTTTCTTTGTAGCCCCCTGGTTAGGTAGAAGAAGCAGGTTTATTCCCTCCTATCTTATACTTGGGATTGAGCCCAAAGTGCTCTCCACTGAGGCACATCCCCAGCCTGGAGGTAGATTCATTTCTAATTCTCTAATTCCCCTCACAATCTGGACATAACTCTTTGGGGTCCTCAATTTATGGAGAAGGTTCCAAATAGACTGCCCATGGTGAATGGGACTTGGATTTTGTATTCTTTCTCATAAGTTTAGGGAACCCTTGAAAACTYCTGTGCAAGTTCACTACACATTGCTACAGCAAATGCCCTCAGAGTGAAAGGCAATTACAGATTTTTGCTTACCTTTGTAGCTTCCTGTTTTCATTTATTTTTTGGCCTCGATGATGCCAGCTTATGGATGCATTYAATTTTTAAAAATATATTTTGGCTTGTATTTTTTAGTTGTTCTCAGTAAAAAGTGTAACCCAATCCCTAGGCCACTATGTTTCAAGAAAACTCAATGGGAAGTTTTCAGTCCTTATGTGACTGGATTTTTTTGCTGCATTTGGCCCTGTTGAGCACTTGCTCCCATTCTCCTGTTGTTGTTTTTTGTTTTGTTTTGTTTTCCCCTGCCTCTCTGATCAATCCTTTCTGGTCTCCTTCACCAGCTTGTCCCTGTTCCTTAACCTGTTCCAGGGCTTTAATTTTGTATTTTTTAAATTGGTACCAGGGATTGAATCCAGGGGCATTTTACCACTGAGCCACATCCCCAGCCTCTTTCTTTATTTTATTTACAGATAGGGTCTCACTAAATTGATTATGRCCTTGCTAAGTTGCTGAGGCTGGCTTTGTACCAGTGATCCTCCTGCCTCAGCCACTGGGATTACAGGCATCCCCACCCTGCCCAGCTCTCCTTCTCTTATCCTTCATTATTTCTCACTYCCTTGGCTTTAAGCTGCAACTCCCAGATCTCTCTGGCCCAATTGTCCTAAATTATAGAACCACACATCCAGCTGCCTCCAACCTCTTTGTCTCCTGAAGGTCACAGACACTCTAAGTTGAACCTGTACAGAACTAAACTCAAGATCTCTCCCATACCTCACATGCTAAAAGGAATATCCCCTGTGTTCCTAACCAGTCATCCAAAACAGATACCTGGAAGCCATCTCTTTCATCAGCCCTCACAACCAGTTTATAACCAAGTCCTGATTATTGTGCCTCATTTCTCTTCTGTTCTTACTGCTTCTGCCCTAACTCCACTGCCACAGCTTTAGCTGGACCCTACTTTGTTCCTCCCTGTCCATGCTTTACAGGAGTMGTGATCTGCTGAAACACACTTCAACTGACCCCATATAAAACTGTTTGATAGCTCCCTGAGGACCACATCCAAGCTCCTTGGCATAACATTCAAGGTCCTTTATTATCTYTCCAGCCCTTTGTCTTGATGAGCACCCTCCCCCAATTCTACATGCACTTTCTGACAATCCTGAGAATATGCCAGCCTGTTTCACATTTCCTTGCCTTTGTTTATACTATTGCCTCAGTCAAGAAAGCTCTGTAATGCATGAAGTCCTGGGTTCAATCCTCAGTACCATTGAATGAATAAATGTCTGACAGTCTGGGTCCAATCAGGAGAGGGAAACCATGCAGTAAGCACACAGGGAAASCTTAATATAATGACTTTGAATCATAATAGGAGATTGAAGTAATAAGGTGTTGATTAGCAAAAGAAGTAAGAGAACTCTAAGGAATATAAGAGTAGCAGAGTCTTGGGGCTGAGATAGAACCCAAGGAAGAGGCCCTCATTCCTCCACTCCTGTCGAAGGCCAAGATCCATACTAKGCCGAACGAACAGGACATGATGAATCTAGAGCTAAGAGGCAATAAAAGCAACAACCAATAACCTGTACAGGCCCAGTGCCTCGTTCACCTTTGAAGGATCAAATATTCATTTTTAAGATTCAGTTCAAATATTACTTCCTCCATGAAGACTTTCCCAGTCCCTTTTCCCTTTCTGTTCAGGTAGAACCAATTTCTCTTCCTTTGTTGAATGTAGACTTTCCCCCCTCATTGGCATGCATACTTGAACCCCAGTCATACTTCTACTGGAGGAACTTTCAATGGTTGATTTCTTTTCTATTTATTTATCTACCTCCCCTCAGCATTGCCAGAAAAAAATCAGGACCCTCAGTTAAATTCAAATTTCAGATACACAACAAATTTTTGTATAAATATATCCCAGTCACTACATGAGACATTCTAAAAGAAAAGTATTTATCATTTATGTATAATTCAAATTTAACCAGATGTCCTGTATTTTTGTTTGCTAAATCTAGCAACACTACCCCGACATCTATTTCCAACTATGGCTTCCTTGATGGCAGMACATGTTTCTACTGATCTCTGAATYCTCACAGATAGCCTAATATGTGACAGTGCTCAATTAAAGTTAAGAGATTGGAGACATTTCTGGCTGCAGGATTGATATTAATTGGAGAGAGTTATGCAATAAACCATCTGAAAAATTATGAAAGCTTCAATAGAATGGTATTGGGGGTAGAGAAAAGGGAAAACACCTGCAAGATCTAGGGTGATCAGTGGTTGRGGGATGCGACAGAGCTCTAGAAGTCTAACATGTCGCTTAAGTTTCTGTCTTGTGTCATTGGATGGAGTTTGGTATATTCGCCAAGGGGAGAATACTAGAGGTGGTGKGGAAGCTGGAAAGCAGGGAAGCTCATTGATGTGAGGTGCAGAACAGGGTAGAGAAGAGTGGAGGGTAGATGTAAAGGAGAAAACAGAAGATATCAAGACAGATGTATGAAGCTTGAGGTTTCCAAAGCTATGCAGGTAGACATTGAAATTACAGACTTGGGGCTCAGGAGAAAGGTCTAGGATGGAGATAARGTGTGAGCATGGTTAGCATGGACAGGTGGTAACTGAAACCATGGAAACAGACAATGTTGCCCAGAGAGAAAGAGAGAGAAGAGTGGGAAGAGGAGAGAGTCAATTTCAGAGCCCTGAGAAACACCTAAGAGGCAGAGAGAGGAAGAACCCAAAAGTAGTCAGAATGAGCAACTGAAAGAATAGAAGGAAACCAGATGAGTATAAGATCAAGAGAGTCAAGGAGTTAGATGTGGTGGCACATGCCTGTAATCCCAGTGACTTGGAAGGCGAAGGCAGAAGGATCAAAATCTATAAGGCCAACCTGAGAGATTTAGGAAGACCATTTCTGAAAATAAAAAGGGCTACGTATATGGATATATAGCTCAGTGGTAGAGTGCCCCTGAGTTCAATCCCCCAGTACTCAGAAAAGAGGGAAAGACAGATGCAGACACAGGGGAAAGCAGTTTTTCAAGGAGGGTTGACAAAATTGAGTGCTCCTGAGTGTTCAAAGTACTAAAGGCTGAGAAGTGGCTACTGGGTTTAGAAGGACTGGGTCCCTGGTACTTCAGCAAAAGCTCTTTTAGTAAAGGAGAGGTGGCAGCAGATATGTCTATCTACCTATGTAGATGTCACAGCATCATCTTTAAAATAATGAGGTATATTTGAGCCAGTATAAACAGAAGGAAAGGAGAGATGAGATAGAAAATGGTTGAAGCGTGGGGGGCATTGTAAATAGTTGAGTCAGAGAGCCCTGATATTGGAGCTGAATACACTTGGAGGAATCCAGCTACAAGAGGATATTCAACATAGTATAAAACAGGGCATGCCGCCACAACATGGGGACCATGCACTCCAAATGGACAGCTAAATGAGATTTGGAAAGTATGTGGACTCCAGGCAAGGTGGAGCATACCTTTAATCCCAGAGACTTGGGAAGCTGAGGCATGGGGTTCACAAGTTTGAGGCCAGCCTCAGCAACTTAGCAAAGCCCTAAGCAATTTAATGAGACCACATATCAAAATAGGAAATAAAAAAAGGACTGGGGATGCAGCTCAGTGGTAAAGCAACCCTGGGTTCAATCCCCAGTACACACACACACACACACACACACACACACACACACACACACACACAGTCTGTGCAACTCCCCTAAAATTGTTTACCTGTTTTACGTTATCAGTGACATTTCTAGCATTTTGGTGGGGAGAAGATCATAAGTTTCATCAGATTTTCAAAGGACTTCACAACTCCAAAAATAGGTTGAGACCCACACAGTTTCTCCTAAATCTTTTCTGATCACTCAACTTTCTCTCTAACCTCTCCTTATCAAGATRAGACTTCAGTCAGCTAGTCCACACACACTGCATCACAGGGATCTTTAGCCAGGAATAAAATGGCAATCCCTGGATAGGAAAGGAGGAAAGTCATTGGCAAGGGCATCTTCCAGACCAGGCAACTGCAGACAGCGGGAGTAAGTAGAACCTGGAACTATGTATTCTGGATGAAATGAACATAGACAGGAGTTTGAGGTATTCTCTGAGCTGGAAAAAACTGTCATTTCAAAGCTGCCTATTATTTGTTGTCTTGCAAGAGGTGATAACTTGATATTCCTTTTTTGGAGACCGTGCCCTAATTTTGGGAAAATCAATCATCGGGCAATATATTTTTGCAAATGTGAAACAGAGATCAAAATAAAAAATGGAGATAGCAGAGCCATGGAATTGACAGGATATTCTCAATATTCCCACCCAGCCTTCTAAATACTGTATGATACGGATACATYTTCTGTGGGGTGTGTTTGTGGAAACTGAGGATCCTGAATCAGTTTAGAGGCATAGATAGGGACCAAATGGATATTTGAGAGCAAAAAAGCACCAAAGTTTTGGTGCATAGAACTGGGGCAGAAGGAGAGACAGGCACAGTTTACCTCCTTGACCCAGAATAGGCCCTGATTTCAGAGCTCTTGTAGCTCCTCACTAGCCTGGGTGAAGTAGCTTCTTGCCAAAGCAGGCAGGCACATGGGAAAAAATTTGTCAACTGTTAAATGCCTGGGATCCCACCCCAACCCTGTCTCACTCATAAGGTGCTCTCATGGACCCCTGGGCACCACCTCTGCACTGATGGTTCTCAAACCTACCAATTCAGACCTCCATCCTCAGGTCTAGATCAACAAGCATATCYCCCCTGCTTCCTGACAACTCCTCTGGATGTCCCATAGTCCCTTAGATGTATCATCCTTTATCCTCCATATCCCTGTCTTATTTCCAAAGAAGGCAAATCATATAGGTCACCCCCAAATAAATACCTAGGACTTAGGAATCAGTTTTAAAGGACATGCAGAAAGGGAATTACATTGACCTTGTGGAGATGATTTAAGGACAATGTGAGAGGCCAGGGACAGCACTAATGTTCCTTCCAGATAAACGTGTATACCTCTTAGTTTCCTGTTCTTTTTTTATATCAGTTGCCAAATTGAATTTAAATAAGTATGTATGTTATTGAGTATTTATTGTCTGTCTATCCTTAGTGTCTACTCAGAAGCTGACATATAATTGGTGCTTAGTAAATATTTGTTGGCTGAATAAATGAATACCCCTCATTCAACAAACAAAATGCAGGTCCCTCTGAGGCTCCTCAGGTCTTTGCTACATTCATGTTTGTGAAGTTCTGTGCTTCATTCTCCCAAAGCAGCACCCCAGTGCACCCTCTTCCCACCTTCGACATTTTTTTTCATATATTTTCTTGCCTTGGACTGTTTCATGGAATGAAGGCAGTGAGCTCCCCAGACTGGACCTTCTGCAAGGAGAGGTAGATTATGCACCTGTCAGGGTACCTTCAAGATCGTTTCCTGGATGGTAGATACTGATTAGTGACAGTGGGCCAGGGCAATGTATGGTTTTCTGTCTTTACCCACTAAGCTAGGACCTCAAGAGTACCATCAGTACAGGATGGGGCTTTTTCCTTAAAAGGCTCTGTAGCTTCTTTTCCTACAGGTAACCCAGGCTCCAAATGCTAGAGACTGTGGAGGGGGTGTGAGCTGGTCTGTGAATGCACCTTGGCCACCCACTCTGCCCAGGGCTCCATGTCTTCTACCTCAGAGCTGCTGGGCGGAGGCAAGCAGTTGGCCAAGCCCGTGATTGCTGAGTGAAGTGTGGGAGTGGGAAGGTCAGGACACACCTCCATCTTACCTCTTCTACTAATCCCCCCATTTCCCAGGAAAGGATCTGACAAATTACCAGAGTAAATAAATAAGTTAGAAATAATAAATAGGGGTTCAGTGCCCAGGAGTGAGTTCAAGGCCAACTCCAACACAGGTGCATTCAATCATGCAACTGCAATGTGACTCCTCCAAATTCTGCCCCACCTGGGCCATTTCTGGAGTCTCTAGAGGAGGAGGTCCCAAGACTTCTGCCTGGCCCGTGCCAGTGTGTGAGAAGTGGTTCCTAATGTTTCCATGGCTGAAGTCTCTGGTGTCCATATAAACCCCTTGAGGCTGCTGGTGAATAGTCCCTCCATTTCTCCAGAGCCAATGTTTGTTATCTCTGATGGGGCTTGGCAACTCAGCTCTGAGGTCTCCATTTCTGGCTGAGGCCCTGGCTAATGGGGCCCAGCAGGGAGGTCTGAGGCATCAAGATGCAGGAGTAAGGATGTGCAAAGCCTTGGAGAGATCCCTCAGCCTAGGCAGCCACAGGCAGTGGCTGAGAGGTGGTCCACRGTCCTCCAGGTGCTGTTGACGTCCATGAAAGAGACTGCCTCATAGCGAGTAGGCCGGCAGCAGGGCTGGCTGACTGGCCGGGAGCCGGGGGGAGGCTTCAGGGCCCCAGTGTCCAGCAGGCTGGCCAGGCTAAGGTCATGCGGGGTGCGAGCGCGGCGACAGGAGCCGCTGCAGAAACGGAAACGCACCAGTTCATCAGATCTGTGGCCCAGACCGAGAGCATGAACCGGCACCAGCTGCGAACGCAGGCGGCAGCTCCGCGTGCCCGTGGCCCCCGTGCGGCTGCCCCGGATCCTAGCACGCGCCGCGCGGACACCGCGGGGCGCAGCAGGCGGGGACACGGGCGGGGGTGGGGGCGCGGGCGGCGGGGGTACCGGTTGGGGAGGCTGTGGCTGTGTCCGCCGGGCTCTTCCGCCGCACAAACGGGCCGTGAGYTGCCCTGGAAGGAGATAAAGTCACACACTCCCGGGCCAGCCTCGCCCCTGCCCCGCCCCTTCACGCTCTCACCTACCCGGGAGGTGGCGGGTGGGCGGCGCCAGGAMTGGCGCGGGGTCTTCGCGGGTGGTCAAACTGTGGGGCTTCGGGTCCAGGGAGGCCTCCGTGACGCTACTCAGCAAGACCAGAGCGGTCAAGGTCGGCCACAGGGCGGGCTGCGCAGAGGTGGAAATGGAGCCTCAGGAAGGAAGAGGGCGCCCTGGTGGGCTGCGGTGGGGCGAGCCCAAGGAGGGGCTGCCTTGGGCTGAGATCGGAGAGGGGGTTGGGTTCCTAGTTGTTGGCGGGAAGTCTGGAAGGGCTTAGGTTCAAGACCTAATGGGTTCCAAGCTTTTGAGAGCTCATGGGAGGAATCGCCTGAGTGCATTGAGCATCCAGAGAAGTCCTGTTCCTTAACTCACATGCCTGGTTCCTCCCTGCCTGACCATTTTCCCTCCTAAATCTGGTCTCAGCCCATGCCAAACCCTTCTCTTCCTCCCCAGTCAAGCCACCCTTCCTCAAAACTAGCTGAGAGTGCCTGTGGGTCACTCACCTGCCACTTAGGCCAGGAGCAGTGGGGCAGTGCGGTAGGGCCTCCAAGTCCAAGTTCCATCTCTATCAACACCAGGAGCTCCCATCAGCCTTTGATGACCTGTTCCCCCACCCTTTTTGTGAGGCAGCTTGCATATTGAGAGATGAGTTATCTTTTAAGGAGGTCATCCTTCCACCTGAGTTTCTCCAAGCTACAGGGGACTTGGGTAGCTGGACTCAATCCAGGAAAAGTAGCTGCATTGAGAACCTTACTATGTGTTAGGTGCTTTGCAACTATTTCCTCTTTCACAACTCCATGAAGTAAATAAATGATTTAATTCCCTTTTTCCAGATGAGCAAACAAGGCTCAGAGAAACTCAGAGATTACCTAAGGTCATAAGGGTAGACCCAGACAACCGTGGGGAGAGGGGTCCTGTTTTCCCAACTTTCCTGCTCTGTGTTGTGGGGCTGGAGCTGCCAAGACTGACTGGAGAAGATAGCAGTAGCTGGCCATCCGTGGTCCCACAGACAGCTTTCACCCATGCCACAGGGGAGGAATCTGAGACCTGGAGAAGAATTAGAGTGGCTGCTGGTCACTCAAGAGTTATATGATGACAATGAGGCCCAGTGAGGCCTGTGCTGCCCACCAGGACCAGCACCAYTGCACCTTGTTCCTCTGTAATATGTGTTCTGGACCCAGAGACATGCGTTTCCTTTTCTGTCCACAGATGTCCCTTACCAGCAGAAGGTRGAGGCTGATGGGCCCTCTGAAAACACAGGGCTTGGGCCATGGCTTCCTATGGCCACCAGGGGGCAGAGTCTGCCAAGTCTGCAGACTTGAAGGGGAGGTGGGCTTTTATATATTCTTTCTGCACTTAGGTCTGAGTCACTCCCAGGAGGACCAGGCTAGGCTGGCCTTCATAGCAGCCTGATCTCAGACCTGAGCCACCCTGAGAGCTTGCCCAYGTCTGTCTCCTCTTGTGGATCTGGTAGCCTGGCCTTGCTCCTAGAAGTTTCCCCCATGAGCCATCATCCTTCCTGGTCCCAGCTAGTCTTTCTAAGCCCCCACTGACTAGCACTCTCAAATGCCTCTCTGGGAACCCAGAACTTTCATGGGCCCTCATTAGCCAGCCTCCTCTTGGATCGGGCTGTCACTTACCTCCCCCTAGGACTCAGAATGCCTACACATCTGTGGAACAGATCTCCTCAGGCATTCCTACAGGGCCAGGCGTTGGCTTATCGGCCACTGTTATCACCACGGAGCAAAAAGCTTAGGGGCCTCTGCACTAGGGGGAGCCCAGGAGCAGGACCCTTGCTTGATGGCATCTCAAGTCCCCTCTCTCTCTCCTGGGTCACTTGATCCTGAGCCCTTGCCACCCGCTTCCATCATCCCACTACTCACCATGGGTGGGGGTCCTGCACCGTTTTCTTCTAGGCACCTTTCTTGGGTCCAGTGCTGGACTTGCCCCCGCAGCTCAAATGGCTCATACCCAGAGCTGTGCACCTGGCAGCACTTCTTTTAGCCAAAAGTGCGGCCTTGGCAGCCAGTCTGTGCCCTGTAGCGGCAGCGGGAGCCTCACATTRCAGCAGGACTAGCGCAGTCTAACAAGGGACAAGAGGGACTGGAGGGGCTGGGAGAAGCAGAGAGCTGCTCCGAGGGCCCAGGAGAGGGAAGATGCCAGAAAAGTGAAGGCTGCCTTGCCCCTGCCCCCAGCCCCTGGAGCGTCCATCCAGGACTGGGACCAGGATATGGGCAAGCGGTTTGGCTTACCTCGGGTGCCGGGTTCCCAACCCCAGTCACAGCCAGGGCTGGGACCCGAGGGACTTGCTGCTGGCGGAGCCCGCGGGCCGTGTCTGGGGGCCGAGCCCAACTCCATCCCTCAGCAGCCTCCTGCCCGCCGCCGTCCGGTGTCAAATTCCAGCCCCAGCGTCACCGGATCCCGGGGTGGGGCCCAGAGCGCCCCCGCCCCGCCCCACCTTTCAGGGCTCACCTGGCCGCTCCACCCGCCGGATCCGGTCCCCACTGGCTCCCCTGGGTCCCCCGAGATGGGGGGTAGACGCTGGGAGAGGACCCTCGGATGCAGAATAGAGAACGCGGGCACCGGGGAGGCGCGGAAACTGCGAGTTCGGAGTTTGTAGACTCGCGAAGTAGGGAGCTGGGAGGACCGGCCGGAGGCGGGAGAGAGCCAGCAAGGGCGGGGAGGGAGGGACAGGCTGGTCCCTGCCTTGGCCGCGGCCTTTGAGTGTGTAGACGTGGGGGTCCCGGCAGGTTGTCCTGCCGCGCCTGGGACCCTCAGATAGTTTCTCTCTTAATGGACGGGTCTACAGCCTCAGATGACAAGGCTCCGCGCTGAACTTCCAAGGTCTGAGTCGACTACACCCACCGCTCACCTCCTGACTTACCTGGGGCTTAGGGGAGCAGCTGGTGTAACATCGAAGTCACTTGTCAGAGACAGTGGAAGTGGGAAGGAGGGCTTAAGGGGAAGGTCACAGAAGAGGAACATGTGGGCTGGAGCTTGAAGTAGGAGCTGGAGGGTGGCATTTCAGATGCCTAATTATGGCAGTTTGGTAGGTGGGCTGGGGATTCCGTTAAGTAACGTGGATGGAAAGGTAATACTAAGGAATCTGGCCTTTTAGCCCCAAGACGCTGGAGACCATCAAAGGGTTCTGAGCAGAATGGTGTGGTCAGAGATGCATTTTGATGCATGTCTCTAGAGTTGTAGTGTGGTAGATAGTTTAGAGACAGGGAAGATGGAGGAGAGGTGAGATAGTCAGGAGACTGCTGGGCAGAGGATGAGGCCTGAGCAGGGAGTCTAGGGCTGCCTGGTCACAATCCTCCACACACCCCCATGAAAATTCAGTCGGTACTTGATTGGATGGGGTGACCAGTTAGGAAGGACAGAGGTGTGCCTTTAGCTTTGGTCTGGGTGACTTAGTGGAGAGCATACACTGTGGGAAATGAGGCTCCCTGGGAGATGGGCTGGTTAGGGGCAGGAGCTCATGAGTTCAGTGTTGAACATGTTGAGTTGGAAAGGCCGGTGGATGTTTCCTAGTGTAAATGTTCAGAAAGCAGCAGAATTTGTTGCCTAGAGCAAAGTGAGGGGAGCTTGGTTGGCAAGGRCAACATGAAAATTGTTGACCAACTGACATACAACTGGAAGTCKTGGGTGCAGATGAGTGCTCAGGGAGCGTGTATGAACCAGCTGCATCCAGTTATGCATCAGAATCACTGGGGATCTTTAAGAACTACCACATCCGGGCCCCACCCTGATCTGAATCAGTCACCAGGTCTCAGGGTGGGCAGTTTTCCAGATCTGCACAGGTGATTCGATGCATATCCAGGGCTCAGAACCACAGCTTTTGTGAGGGAGTCTTGTGTGGTGCTGGGGACAACAGASTGCTGAGAAAGTCTGCTGCTGGGAGCTGTTGGAAGTGGCTGGGGAGGACAGCCATTCCCATGAAGCTGTAGAAAGGAGGCCAAGTGGTGAGCAGTTTGACCTGTTGCCTCCCATAACTTGTTGGCCAGGGGCAGCTTTTCTGGGGCTTTTTCAACCAGGACCACTACTTTGGGGCAAGCAGCTTAGTCCCTGTACAACTCTTGAGTGGGTGCCATCCAAGCTGGAACTGTGCATTGGAGTTGGGCATCACAGAGGCCCTCTTTTCAGCAGAGTATGAAGGGCATTTCTGGGTTTGACTGTCCCTCAGTCAGGGCCTCGCTTCCCCTCAGTTGAGGAGGGCTATGTCTGGGAACAGACTTCTGCAGTAAGGAGGGCATGTGGGAAGTCATATTCCTTGGGGTGGCCAAGACTCTGTCCTCAGGGGGTCACAGTGGGAGGGCCTGGGGCTCCCTGGACTCTTGGAGTAGGCAGGAGAGGTGCAGGAAGCTCCTTCCACATGGCCTCAAGGGAGGGTATATTTGTCCTTCCCAGGCCTGCTGGGGAGAGATGGATCCGATTCGAGGTGGAGGGTGTTCTTTCTGAAGTTCCCCAAGGGATGTTTAGAACTGGGCTGTGTGTCCCCTGTTCTGTGTGAGAAGGGGGGGCTGGATGGAGATCATGCCTGTGTGCTAACTTTGGGGTCAAGACATATTCTTTCCAGAGCCAAGAAAGAGCCAAGCCAGGGTGTCAAGCGATGGTCTGTGGGCCTCTCCAGGCCAGGGGCTACCACTGGTTTTTCTCTCATATGGTAAGACCCCAGAGGTTCCTAGATAGCCACCTGGGTCCTGCACAGGACATGAGAAGTGAAGGGATCTGATGCTCTGTGGGCTGGAGAGAAGGCCCTTGGATTTAGCAGAGTGGCTGGAGCCTTGGGTTCCTGTTTCTTCCAGGAAAGTTGGAAAAAGAAAAAAAGGAGGCCAGGTTCAGGGAAGATCTTTATTGCTTCCATGAGGGCTGCCTAGGATGGCTGTCKCGGCCTAGGTAAAGTCCTTGGGCCTCACTTCCCTCTGGTCCAGGCTAAAGGCAGAACCCAAGGACTTAGCAGTCTCATTGTGGAAACCCAGAACACCTGCCAAGTGGGTCAGTGCAGGCCAGGGTGGTGTCCCGTGGATCAGGTGTGGCTGGGGAGGACAGCCATTCCCATTAAGCTGGGCTGGGCCTCCTGAGCTTTCGAGTTCTCTCGGCTCTAGCCCAGGGCTGTCCTRTTGGCTCCGAAGGGATGGCTCCAGGGTTTCCCTGCAGGACAGCTGGGGGCTGGTGAGTGGGAATACCCCATCTTCTCCCCAAGAAAGGCCAAACAGTGTGGTGAGCTGGAGGGGACTGGCATGAGATGCTGCCCACCTCCCTATGGTCCTGGAGTGCAGCACAGACTGGTCACCGCATTCCTACCCTCCAGGGAGCTAACTGGTACCACTGCTTGATGGGCCCTCTAGTGGACCTCTTCCTGCACAGCAAGTGGACCAAACAATCTCCAACCTTATTTAAAAATAAATTATCCCCCCCTCCCCCCTGCCCAAATTCACAAAATGATAATACACCAAACACTGATTGGAGAAACAATTCTGGCAGCAGCCGTGCTGCCTAATGTCCCACCTCCTGCATGCTGGGCCTGCTGGGCACAGCCAGTGGCCTCCTGGCCCTCTGG